GCTGGGGAGAGGGAGGTCTGGGCCTCCCTTCTGAAGCTGCTGCCCCCGCGACCCGACCCCGGATAGGCGGAAGAAAATGGATGGATGGATGGATGGATGGCAGTTATTTAATGTTATTTTTATTTACATCTTACATAAAATCTTAGCTGTTTTGCTAAGAGCTTTGTAAAAGGTTTACTCAACACAAACCAACAGACTTTTCTTTGGAGGACAAGCATTTTTTGAAATAAATACCATCAAAATAAAAGCAGATTAAATCTGTGCCCTCAGGTACCACAAGGGAAACAAACATGAACAACTGACAAACAAAACAAGTTGATCAYTTRAACCGAACCAGGACTCTGTGGGACTTTTCCTTTGCGATCATCGTCTGTTTTCCACCAGATCTTTAGTTATAGATCAGTGAGGCTGTGGGCTAAACAGACGCCGTCCTGTGTCATAACCGAGTGTAAACACCGCGCTCTTCCTCTGCCCTCCAGGCGCAGAGGAAAATACCTGCCTGCAGTAAGGTACACACAGTTCTCTCCAATTTGCATCGCAAATAACCTCCTAATAAAACCTGATGGATCTGAACTACAAACAGAGCCTGGAAGAGTTCCATGCTCRTGTAGAACAGTCAAGASTTCTTATGGAATAAACAGCATTGATTATTTGTCCCGTAAAGGCGCAGTTTGCTCAGTGCACGCTGCTCTCTGCTCACAGCCTGTTGAGCAGGCTTGTTGTTAATCTGAGGAATGTTGTTGCCCAGTGAACAGAGCAAATTAGGTCTCGGTGAGATTAAATGTCACAGGTCTGAAGGACTAAGGGTTGTGGAATCTAGTCAAAACAGGTCTCTTTGTCGTAGTCACGCCGTCTGACGCCAACTACTGGAGGCAAACACACTCCTCTCCTCTACTTGCCTCCTCCCTTTCTCACACTTGTCCCACTTCCTCTCAGGTGCTCCTCTCTTCTTCCTGTGGCTGCAGAGGAGGTCAAATGAAAGGCTTCTTACCCCACAGCATGCAGCTCGGTTGTACTACAGCTTCATTTCAATAGGTGGCACCAAAAATAATAAGCAAATCGTTTATTCTAATCGTCAAACGGGGACAAACGGATGCAACGTTGAGAATAAATAAGATTCAGTTTGACCAAAAACAGGAAAATGTGCAGAGCTTAAACGAACATGATGGAATGTTTCCTCTGAATTGTAAAAGTGTAGATTATGGTCCTCAATCCTGACTGTCATGCATGTCTTAGTTGTTTCCTTGCCCTTGATCAGGTCCTCATGTTCTGCAAAAACCTGTTGGTCCCTCATTTATTCAAATTAAGTGTGTTGAAACAGAGAAACATGTGTCAAACTTAAGGCCCATGGGCCAAATGTGGCCCACCACTGCATTTAATGTGGCCCATAAGAGCTTCAAAGATGTATAAATGTCTTTAAAAAGGTTGCTTTAGAGCCAGCATTGACCACAAACCACTTCTCTTTGACTGATTATTTTAACTGCAAAATGACGGCCGCCAGTGCAACAGGGTTGAAAAGTAGCTGTGTAAAATCKCCATTTCACTTCAGTTTTGCCAGCTAATTTTGCTGCAGCCCAGTTGTATGGGGAAGTGGGAATTTCACATTTAGTCAGTCATAAATGTAGCAGTTTTCAGTGTTTACAAGAGGACTTGTTAAAACCCTGTTTTTAAGCAGGAAATACCAGGTAGAGTTCAGTTATTGTTTGTTAGTGGTGCTCATCTAAAGCATGCAGGATAAAGACCAGGATTGAGGACCATTGGTGTAGCGATTCTTCAGTTCGTTTGCAAATAAGGAATTTAAATATTT